GAAGCTAAGGCATGAGAATCACCTGAATCTGGGAGGTACAGGTTGCAGTGAGCCAAGATTGCCCTACTGCACTCCAGCCTGGGCGACATAGCAAGACTCTAATTCCAAAAATAAACAAACAAACAAAAAAGGCCAGGCACGGTGGCTCACAACCGTAATCCTCACACTTTGGGAGGTCAAAGTTGACTGATTACCTGAGCTTAGGAATTCAAGACTAGTCTGGGCAACATGGCAAAAACCCATCTCTACTAAAAATACAAAACATTAGCTGGGTATGGAGATACACGCCTGTAGTCCCAGCTACTCAGAAGGCTGAGGCAGGAAAATCACTTGATACAGGGAGGCAGAGGTTGCAGTGAGCCAAGATCACACCACTGCACTCCAGCCTGGGCAACAGAGCAAGACTGTGTCTCCAAAAAAAAAAAAAAAATTCTGACCAGGTGTAGTAGCTTATGCGTATAGTCACAGCACTTTTGAAGGACCAGGCGGGAGGACGAATTGAGTCCAGGAGTTGAAGACCAGCCTGAGCAATATGGTAAAACCCCATCTCTACAAAAAACTTTAAAAATTAGCCAGGTGTGGCAGCACATGCCTGTAGTCCCAGCTACTCAGGAGGATGAGGTGAGAGGATCACTCGAGCCCAGGAGTTTGAACTGCAGTGAGCTATAATCATACCACTACACTACACTCGTCTCAAAAAAAATTTTTTTTTCCTTCTCTATAACCTTATTCCAAAAGCTTTTTTCTCTTATTAAAATTATTTTTTTTTTTACTTTTTAAATGTTTTTGTTGTAAACTAAGACACAAGCTAGACATGGTGGCTCATGCCTATAATCCCAGTTCCGTTGGAGGCGGGGGTGGGTGGATCACCTGAGGCGAGGAGGTCGAGACCAGCCTGGACTACATGGCAAAACTCTGTCTCTACTAAAAATACAAAAACTAGCCAGGCGTGGTGGCAGGGACCTATAATCCCAGCTACTCAGGAGGCTGAGGCATGGCAATCACTTGAACCCGGGAGGCGGAGATTGCAGTGAGCTGAGATCGCATCACTGCACTCTAGCCTGAGTGACAGCAAAACTCTTTTGCTTGAGTTTATACAGCTATTCATTACTATTAATCAGGATTCAAACCCTGTCTCCCAAGTCCATATTGTTTCATTGCTTACACAAATGGATCGAAAACTGGATATAAATACTTAATTATAAACGCTTACAAGCTCAAAACACCTGAGATATCACCCAATCCAACTCCTTCATTTTGTATATAGGGAACTCAAAAAGACTAATCTATTCACCCTAAATACCCTATTCTTTTCTAAAGTAGCAATTCTCAAACTTTTTGGTCTCAAGACACTTTACATTCTTTTTGAGACAAGAGTCTTACGCTGTCACCAGCTAGAGGGCAGTGGTGGGATGTCAGCTCACTGCAACCCTCAAATCCTGGGTTCAAGTGATTCTCCTGCCTTGGCCTCCCAAGTAGCTAGGACTACAGGCACGCTCCACCATGCCCAGCTAATTTTTGTATTTTTAGTAGAGACAGGGGTTTTACCATGTTGGCCTGGATGGTCTCAATCTCTTGATCTCATGATCCACCCGCCTTGGCTTCCCAAAGTGCTGGGATTATAGGCATGAGCCACCACACCTGGCCAACACTTTTACATCCGTAAAAAGTATTAAGGTCCCCAAAGACCCTTTGTCTATGTGGATTATATTTATTACTGCTTGTATTAGAAATTAACTGAGAACTTTTACAAATATTAACCTCTTTAAAAATAATAAACTCAATATATAATATAAATAACAATGTTGAAAATGATTATTTTTCAAAACCAAACAGTAAAGAAAACAACACTATTTTTCATATTTTTGTGAATTTCTTTAAAGTCTGGCTTCATAGAAGACAACTATATTCTCATATTTGCTTTTGCATTTAATCTGTTGCATATATTGGTTTGGTTGAAGCATACAAAGAAAATCCACCCTCATATAAATATGTAGTAGTAGGAAAGAAGGACCTCAGAGACCCCATGAAAAGGTTTCATGGGCCCCAAGTTCGTTTTTTTTTTTTTTTTTTTTTTTTGAGATAGAGTCTCATTCTCACACAGGCTGGAGTGCAGGGGTGTGATCTTGGCTCACTGCAACCTCTGCCTCCTGGGTTCAGGTGATTCTCCTGCCTCAGTCTCCCAAGTACCTGGGATTACAGGCGTGTGCCACCATGCCCAGCTAATGTTTGTATTTTAGTAGAGATGGAGTTTCACCATGTTGGCCAGGCTGGTCTTGAACTCCTGACCTCAAGTGATCTAGCCGCCCTGCCTGTGATTACATGCATGTGTCACTGAGCCTATCTGCCCTCCCAAGGTCTTTAGGTTACACTTTAACAACAACTGCTTTAAAGGTTATACTCCTCTAGTCATCTTGCCTAAGAACTTGAAGAAACTAAGGTGAACTGACATATATTTGTTAGAAAATATTTAAAAACTGCTTTATTCGGGGCACTTCCTTAACCTAAAATCTCCCTTAGAAATCTCTGAAATTCAACCCTATTTTTCTTATAATCTTTTGTAAACAGCAACAAAGTATGAGAAAAAAAAATCAGTCTAGCTGCAGCAGCCTACTGCAATAGAAATGAGAATATCTGGGCATCAGCACAAACTAAAGTTACAGAAAGGATGGCAAACAGTTCCTGTAATGAGTCAAATAATAAATATTTTAGGCTTTGGGGGCCATATCATTGATGTAACATGTACAACTCTCCTTATGGTATGAAAGTAGCCATATACAATATATAAATGAAGAGGAGTGGATAAGTTCTAGTATAATTTTATTTAGATTTGACCCTTAGCCCATGGCTAGCTGAATTCTGTTTTAGACAGAACCGATCAACCTCAAAAATACAGTGACCAAAACAAAGCCATTTTATAAAATCAAATCTCTTTTCTTATTTACAAATGGATTTTATTCCTTATAAACACTTGCAATAGAAGCATACTTTCTTGTCAATGAGGAAAAAGAGGCAGAATGAATAATTTGTAGGTACTTTCAGTAATTAAAAGCTATTCAAACACCTAGGAACATGTAATTAGGTAGATCAAGTTTTGCTCTTGTCACCCATGCTGGAATGCAAAGGCTCCATCTCATCTCGTATAACCTCCCCATCCCGGGTTCAAGCCATTCTCCTGCCTCAGCCTCTCGAGTAGCTGGGATTACAGGTGCACGTGGTGACACCCAGCTAAGTTTTGTATTTTGAGTAGAGACGGGGTCGCGCCATGTTGGCCAGACTAGTCTTGAACTTCTGACCTCAGGTGATCGACCCACCTCAGCCTCCCAAAGTGCTGGGATTACAAATGTGAGCCACCGCGCCCAGCCAGAAATGGCAATATATTCTATAGAATGGTAAATTATTCCAGAATAACTTCGATAGTCAGTAAAATGAAACACTTAAAGATAGACAAAAATTATCATTCTTGGTATTTATTTCTTCTAGCCAATTTTTTATTAAATAGATATATAATTATACAATATTCCCCCTGAGTAAAGAAAGAATTCTTGAGATTGAAAAAACATACACCATAAATGAAACTAATAAATTTTAATGCATTACTTGAAATGTAAATTTTCCACAGAAGGTGCAAATATAACACTCCAAAAATAATTAGATAATCCATAAATCAGGAGAAGATAGTCATAAATAACAGATAGCAAAAGATTAAGAATGAGACTATCTAAAGAACTCCCATAAAACAACAAGAAAACACAGATCAAGATTATGGTGATACAGCATTTTAAATTTACCAAATTGACAAATTTTTAAACTCCAGCCATACCAAGTGATTAGGTGATGTGAAGCAATGAGAACTTAAACATTGTAGGTGACATGTAAACTGATACACTACCTTAGAATACTACATTGTATTGGAATATGATACTTTGGAAAATAATTTGCATTATCTTCTAAAGTTCACCATATGCACCTTACAAGTCAGCAATTCTAGGAATATATGCAAAAAATTCTTGAATAAGCACAAAATGTATACAAAAATGCTCATTAATTGGTAAATAAAGTCATGTCATGGAATACATTACAACTGAGAAAATGAACACAGCTACATGGGTCAATGCGGATGAAACTCAAACAATAATAAGTAAAAACAGTAATTAAGAGAAAAATGCATTCAGTATGCTTGCATTTAAGTGCAAACATAAAAAAATAAAACTCTTTATTGTTTAGAGTTTTATATACGTAGCAAAAGTACAGAAAAGACAAAAGACAACACCAAATACAAGTTAGTGGTGTTGGGGGTCAGGCGAAGAAGAGGAGACAAAGCAATTGCAGAGAGGTGACCCAATTTCATAAACAGTGATCCTTTCTGTATGCTTATAGTATTTTTAAAAGAAAAATTTTAAGCTATAAATAACTAAACTTACTTTAGCTTAATTTAAGCAAAAAAAAAAAGAACGCATTCTTCCAAACCCATTTTTTTAAGCTACCTGCAACATGAGCAAAAGGCAAACATGAGCCAGAGCTTTTCTGTTTACTCAACTACCTTACATTGCTAAACAATTGCTCATCTTTGAATATAGTGCGCCACCTTGTGTTCAAAAGCTTCTAACTAGCATAAAATTCTGAGACTCCTATTTGTAAACTTGGCTTCCTTGGGGAAAAAAAAAATATTAGGTTGGTGCAAAAGTGACTGTGGTTTTTACTGCAACTACTTTCGCACCACCCTAATATAAATTCCTTTATGCTGTGGCAATAGATTTAGCATTATAAAGATAAGTACATGTAAAACAACATTAGAAAAAGTTATTTTGATGCTAAAGAATTAGAAATGCTTTATATTTATTTCTATTGATAACCTTTTGAAGCTTTCATTTTGCTGTACTTTCAGAAAATAATTTGCCTTTTTTCCTCGATTTTAACTATCTGAATTTTTTAAATGACTAAAATTCAAAATTATAGATTTTTTAAATGCTACAATATTCTTTCATAAAGAAACTTACCTTTGAATGAGTGATTGATAAAGTATCTACCCATACACGCCAGCCACCCCACTCATATTTGACTGCATGGTAAAGCAGGATTCTGAATATGGCATATACCATTTCTGTTATCTTTTGCTCATCTGAATTCTTAGGATTAAAATAGCAGAGAGAAAGCATCCACTCTTGCCACACAGAGCATTGTAGCAAGCTCCTGAAAATTATAAGAGGATACTAAATTACTGAAGAAAAAAAAATCATCTGAAAGAATTCTTAAAAGTTTAAACCAAAGTAACAACCTCCCACCAAAAAAAAAAAAAAAAAAAAAAATTTAATTATACATTAAGAACAATTCAACAATGTGGTACTAAAAACTTTAACTTAACTATGTGCTACATTATTTACATATCCTTAATATATTTTTAAAGCAATTTTTCTAAGATGAAATGGGCTTATACAAAAGTAGACTTGAACACTGCAAATAAATGCTTTCTCATTCAGCTTACCTCCTGTTTTCTCTACTGTTATTAAAAAGTTTAATCATGTCAGAAAGAAAGGCTCTGCGAACCTCCATGCTCTCTGAGCACTGGGGAGAATTTCGAAGTAGGGTCGCAATTACTTTTAGTATCTCTGTAAGACAATTTATAAATAAGTAAAAACCAAACTGAACAAAAAACTCATGATAGAAGGTCATCGATCTACTGTAATTTCTTTAGTTCCCCTAACACAATGTCTACTAAAGACATCCTCTTCTGTTATTAAAAAAATAACCTATGGAAAGAAATGACAGTATATTCATTAGAAAGCATTTATAACTTAGAAAGGAAATTTATTTCGTGATTCAAATGTGCAAAAATAAAACTGAATTTTAAAATGTTAAAACAAGTTAAACTATAAATGAATTAAATGTTAGTAAAACTGCTTATTCTCTCTGAGATATACCAAATAGTAAAGCTGATCTTAAAAACAACTAGGCCAGGAGAATTGACTCACGCCTGTAATCCCAACACTTTGGGAAGCTGAGACAGGTAGATCACTTGAGGTCAGGTGTTCGAGGCCAGCCTAGCCAACATGGTAAAACACTGTCTCTACTGAAAATATAAAAATTAGCCAGGTGTGTTAGCATGCCTATAATCCCAGCTACTCAGCATGCTGAGACAGGAAAATCACTTGAACCCAGGAGGGGGAGGATGCCCTGAGCCAAGATTGCACCACGGCACTCCAGACTCAGCAACAGAGCGAGACTCTGTCTCAAAAAATAATACTGAAATAAAATTAGAAAAACACAATAATCAAAATCTCAGAAAAAGATAAATTCTTAGATTTCTCATCATAATTTATGGTATGCACACAGCCTTTCATTTATCATAGTGAATTTTTAAAGGTGTGAAGACTTTCCTTCATAATCTTAAAAGTAAAATTAGACACAAAAAACCCAAAGGAAATTAAAACCCATTCAATATCCCATCCCCCAAGAAAATGCAAACTAAACTACTATGGTAATGGTCTTAGCACAAAGCTATTTAAATATCTAGAATTTAGCTTAAATTAGGCTGGGCATGGTGGCTCATGCCTATAATCCCAGCACTTTGGGAGGCCAAGGCAGGCGGATCATCTGAGGTCAAGAGTACCACCCTGGCCAACATGGTGAAAACCCGTCTCCACAAAAAATATAAAAATTAGCCAGGCCTGGTAGCAGGCGCCTGTATTCCCAACTACTCAGGAGGCTGAGGCAGGAGAATCGTTTGAACCAGGAGGCAGAGATCCTGCCACTGTATTCCAGCCTGGGCAACATAGCAAGACTCTGTCTCTAAATAAATAAATAAGCTCCTGAACTTAGCTTAAATTTTTTTTAAAGATTCTTTTAAAAATATGTACTTAGAGCAGGTGCCATGGCTCATGCCTGTAATAACAGCACTTTGGGAGGCCAAGGTAGGGGGAATGTTTGAGCCCAGGAGTTTGAAACCAGTCTCAACATAGGGTTGCCCAGTGAGACCCTTACAAAAAATTTAAAAATTAGCTGGCTGTGATGGTGAGTGCCTGTAATCCCAGCTACTTGGGAGGCTCAGGTGGGAGGACTGCCTTATCTGGGAAGTCAAAGCTGTAGTCTCAAAAAAAAAAGGTAGGACTTTGCAGATAAAAAATAAAAACAGCTATAATTCTGAATTTAAAATTACATGATATTTCAAATTTTTATTCAATTGAAAATTTAGGAATTCTAAACTAACCTTTTGCTAAGGATTTTGGTGAATCTAAACAATTATTTCAAAATAGCAAAAACGAAGATACTCAGTCATACAATTACTGATATTTGGGGAGCAATTTCTGAATTCCTCTAATAACAAATTCAAAAGTTGGCTACCTGAACAATGATTACAATAATGATGATAGACATAATAATGAGATAATTGCCACTAATTTTGAGGATATATTACCATTGTTTTAAGAAAGCAATTATTAATTCATGTAATCTTTACACAATAGAAACTAATATCCTCATTTTAGAGATAAATAAAGCTCAAAAATAAAGAAATGCACACCACAACTAGTTAGACATATAACCAGGAGTTCAACACATGCAGCCTCTATTTTTAATCACCTAACTATACTACCTGTCTTTTCTGGGCCAATATATTAGGTAGATAATTGCTATTGTTTATAGCAATACAGATAATTTTAAAGTGTCTCTGCCAAAATTCAGTGTGCTAATGTAATGTTATTAAGAAGTAAGGCCTTTAAGAAGGTGATTAAGCCTGGAGGACTTCTCCCTCAATAGGATTAAAGTCCTTATAAAACAGGCTTCACATAACGTTTGGTGAGCTTGCCATTCAGCCTTTATTGAAAGCAGAGAGCAGCCATCAGCAAACTAAATGGAGGCACCTGGATCTTGGACTTCTAAGCTTTCAGAATTGAGAGAAAATAAATTTCTGTTCTTCATAAATTGCCCAGTCTCAGGTATTCTGTAATAGCAGCATAAAAGAGACTAGACTAAGACAAATAAATTCTAAAATTCTTATACTAGTAATCTTCTCTATCATCACATAACATATATGAAATGTACATTTATATATATATCTATAAATACAAGATTTTCTCTTCATTCTCAAAATAATGACATCATGTTTCTCTGAAAGCTGAGAAAAATTAAACTTCAAAGCCACGTATTTTTAAAATCAGCACTGGAGTGCCACACACACAAACACACCTAACCACATAAAATGTAATTACATTTCAAAACTCTACAAACTAATAATTTTAACATGATCTTAGAAAGATGAAAAAGGTATACTTTGTACAAGTGCTTAAGAATTCTAAATATCAAAAGAAAAGACTGTTTAATAAGACTATGTTCATAAACAATAAAGAAGACATATTTTTCTATTCCAAATTTGGTATTTTTTATTCACAGAAATTTAAAACTACCTCCATGGTTCATGTAGTTTTGCCTGATATCACTAAATAGCACAACCAAAATTTTGATGAAAGTCTGGACATACATTAAATCAAGACCTTAAGCAAACAATTCTTCAAACCCTTTATATAAGGATTTCCATATAACTTAAGGTTGATTCGAAGTCACATTCAACATAAAACATAAACAAAACTAATATAATATCATCACCCTTAGTGAAATATTCATCTAACAATCTATTTCAACAACATCAACTATAGGCTGTTCACAGTGACTTTCTTTTTAAGTGTCAAAAGGTAGCTTTTGTTAAAGTATATAAAATACATACGAGGGTTTTGTATCTTTACTGAAGAATCGGGATCTGGATGCTGTTTATGTATCACCTGAGTACCAATCTGTTCTATAAGAATCTACAGAAGTAAAACAATAGATTACATTAGCAAATCATTGGATTAGCATCACTGTTAATGAACTCTAAGTACAATGCTAATCAAAATATAGTATATTTTTAGTCCAATATTTTCATGCTAAATATTATGCTTCCAAAATAACTTAAGCATTATTACTCTGTGTTTTCTTAATTATAAAATGAGACATCAAATAGTTAATACAATGGAGGGAATACTTAAATGGAAACGATACTGTTTAGAAATACATAGATTAATAATACATTCAAATGCAGCCACATCTCCTTTATATCATTTCAAAGCTGTACATTACAAACCTATATAATCTGGCTGGCATGGTGGCTCATGCCTGTAATCCCAGCACTTTGGGAGGCTGAGGCGGTGGATCACCTGAGGGCCAAAGTTTGAGACCAGCCTGGCCACCATAGCAAAACCCTGCCTCTACTAAAAATACATAAATTAGCCAGGCATGGTGCCATGAGCCTATAATCCAACTACTCGGGGGGCTCAGACAAGGGGCTCGCTTGAACTCAGGAGGTGGAAGTTGCAGTGAGCCAAAACTGTGCCACTGCACTCCAGCCTGGGTGACAGAATGAGACTCTGTCTCAAAAAATAAAGTAAAATAAAAATAAATGAACTTATTTACCTACACAATGTTAAGATGCATTTTTATAATAAGAAATTTGGTAGAGTAAATCCTAAGTACATTCTTACCTCAAATAGGACATTATATGTGGTCATTGTGATTAAATTTGTGTGAAGCATGAGCCTTTCAGCAAGCAATGAAAACAATCCATGCCCAAGCATGACTTCAGCTTTCCTCCTGCAATTACACAGAAAGAAATCATCAAATGTAGAGCTTTTCTGTGCTCTACTTAGTACGCATGCTGGATGAAGGAAACAAAATTTTTTTCACATTACAAGCAATTCCCAACTCAATTACTCTCCCAACCATCTTTACTATAGCACTCTTAAGGCCACAAAACCTTTAAGTAGAGAAATGCTAACTACTATATAAGCATAGCAAAAGTTAAAAAAAAAAAAAAAAAAAAAGTTTGCCTATGCACAGCAAAAACCTCCTCAAAATCTTCAGAGCAATTATTTATTTAGCTAAGTTGCTATGATTTACCAGCACTAACTTAGTATCTCTTGGGGATGATCATCTAAAGTAAAATAAGTACTTAAGTAGAAAAACAATGTGGAGAAAAAGTAGAAGAAATGCAACATAATTTTTAAAAATAAATACTATGAAAACATATATACCAAAATTAACCTTCCAAGTATAAATTCAGAAACTAAAGGATCACAAGCTTTACCCTTGGGGTCTGCAAAGTTCTTCCGCAAATGGCTAAGGGGTAAATATTTTCGAATTTGTGGACCAGGTGATCTCTGTCACAATTCAACATTGCCCTTGTATCATGAAAGCCACAGATGATACACAAATTAATTATTGTGGCTATTTTCCAATAAAACTTTATTTATGGGTGGTTAGCTGGATTCCTAGAGACTACAGTTTACCAACACTTGTTCTACCCCCAACATTTTATTTTTAAAATAAACTAATTTCGTACAAAGAACAAGAGGTAGAGAACATGAGTATCTGCATTCAGCTAAGAAAATAAAACTCTCTGTATACAGCAGAACACACTATGTAACAAACATCCAGGTTACTCTATTACTCTGCAATGCAGATAAAGCAAAATTGGTGTGACACCTGAAATCAAGTCTCCACAGTTTCTTGATTGCAAGTTATCCAAACTAATTCTCATAATTCACATTAAATACACGAATAATTTAAATAATTTTATGTACAAAAAACTATTCAACTTAATTTTCAAAATATGTACTAGTGACTGGATTACATTTATACAGCAATTAGGAAGAAAAATAAAAGAAAAACTACAGAACTATAGAACAAAATTGCTACTCCAAAGATTTATAAAATAAATAAGTAGAATACAACAGTCCATCTTAGATTTCATGCATACTTACTTTGGCGCCAGATGTTTTAAAAAATAACCCATTGCCTTAAGAGCTTGTACCCTGATTCCTTCGCTTTTTGATGCCAGAAGTTTGTAGATAACACTGAATGAATAAAAATTAAAAACAAACTATTTTAAGTACAATTTTTAAATGGAAAGGTTTAATATATACACTTTTCATATTATTATAAACCTATTTCAAATAACATAGAAGGAAATTTAATACACATTTCTGGTATTAAAAATCCTGCTTATCTTAGGCTAGAGTTCCTTTTGATGAAAACTAAGAAATGAGAAGAAATTGGAAAGTAAGAAATGATGTGACTTTTCCATGTACATATTTATATGTAACGTGTGCATCAAGCTAGTTTGAGACTTTCTTCCTTCTGCTACAGGCTTATCAATGTCCTATGAAGGTTACCAAAACCTGTTATTTTAAGTCAATAGAAAGAAAACATTCTTTAATGGTAGCACCTATTTAAATTTCCAAGTAATTATCACCATGAAAAACAAGAAAGCAAGCTAATAATGAATGGTAATCAGAAATAATTACAAAAGTAAAAAGATTTAAAACCAAAGGACTGCTAAAAATAAATTTCCCATTCATTTCTCAAAAATTATATGGTAATCTAATTTAATTTGTAAAGATCTATGAGGCAGCCAGACACGGTGCCTCATGCCTGTAATCCCAGCACTTTGGGAGGCGGAGGCGGGCAGATCACCTGATTTCAGGAGTTCAGAACCATCCCAGCCCCAGTATCTACTAAAAGCACAAAAAATAAGCTGGGCGTGGTGGCACGTGCCTGTAATCCCAGCTTCTTTGGAGACTGAGGGAGGATAATTGCTTGAACCTGGGAGGCAGAGGCTGCAGTGAGCTCAGATTGCACCACTGCACTCCACCCTGGGCAACAGAACAAGACTCTGTCTCATATATATAGAGAGAGGGCCTTCTGATTTTAGTATAAGCAAAGTATATTGACTCTGTCTCAATAAATGATTACATACATGAGGGTCTTCTGATTTTAGTATAAGCAAAGTAATACTGAAACTGAAATTCAACTGATTCATTATAGCATTCCCTTCCTCATAAACATTTAGAACAACAACAGTAATTAGAGACCCTTACAATTACTTTTAAAAATTAAGGATATCAGGCCAGGCATGGTGGCTCATGCCTGTAATCCCAGAACTTTGGGAGGCCGAGGCAGGTGGATCACCTGAGGTCAGGAGTTAGAGACCAGTCTGACCAATATGGTGAAACCTCATCTCTCCTAAAAATACAAAAATCAGCTGGGCGTGGTGGCGGGCACTTATAGTCCCAGCTGCTTGGGAGGCTAAGACAGGAGAATTGATTGAACTGGGGAGGTGGAGGTTGCAGTGAGCCGGGATGATGCCACTGCACTCTAGCCAGGGTGACAAAGCGAGACTCCATCTCAAAAAAAAGAAGAAAAAAAAATTAAAGATTATCAGTATCCTCCTAGATAAGAATTTTGATGATTAGTAAGTCAGAAAACATTCTGAACAAAAAGGAAATATCTTCAACCTCTAGTGATCAATAGAAGAGCAAGAATATAAAAAGAAGTTTGATTCCTTTTAAAATATGAACTAAAGGCATCCAGGTCAATATCACATTGTAACTGCATAAAATGACGCATACAAAATCATTCATTTTTTTAATTCAAATCTTAGTAATAAAACTTAACAGTTAATATTAGGAAAATACTAACATGTTTTACGTTTCTTTTCTTCAAGGATTTAAATTCAGCAAAATAAAAATTATTAAACTTTTTAAAAGAAATATTAATGTAAGTATAATACCAGTTTAAAATTACAGTAGTTTTTTAGTTTTTTTTTTTTTCCCCAAAGATGGCAGATTTGAGGGTTTTAGCATTTCTCAGCCACTTGGAAACAATAAGATAGCACATAAAAATAAACTCTGAGCTTTAATTCAAGAAGAAAAGCAGGAATCTACCAGAATCATGAAGGGCATCCTAGATCCTGAGAGCACTTTGTTTCTCCCAAGACCTGGAGCTGAGAAAGAGGTATGGAGATACTGTGAGGGAAAAACACCAGGAAAAGTTGCAGGGACCAAGAGCAGGATGCCAGTTTGAATTCAAGCACATACAATACAACCTGGAAATCTGACATGTGGCCACACAGGCATGCCCCGTCATAGGCCTGGGGTGGGAGGAAAGTGGCTAGAGCCGCAATATCTCCTGGACAATGAGACTTGCCAACCAGGGGCAGCTTGGTGACCTGGAACCAGTCTGCATGTGCCATTGCTGAGTCCCCCAGCCGGCAACCCTGACATTGTGGTGCAGCAGGGCCCTCTCTGCTCCACTCTCAGGCAGAAACCCAGGCATTCAACCCTCCCCATCCCTCGTAAACACAGATCATGGCACTGGACCCTCTTTCCTCCATGCCCAGGCAGATCTCCAGGCATGTGAAGCACCCACTCCCATGGACTAGCAACCTGAGCCCTATTCCACATGACGCAGCAGGATGCACAGGCAGATCTCCAGGAATTCAATGCACTTGCTTGCCCAGACTGGCAGCCTGAGTCACCCCACTCTTCCTTTGCAGAGATCCAGGTTCAGAGGGGTCCTCTATGCTTCATGCCCAGGGAGATCTCCAGGCATCCAGAGCAGCTGCTTAGTCCAGCAGCCTGACTCACCTCATTCCTCTGTGCAAAAATCTTGGTGCAAGAGGAGCTCTCTCTGCTCCATGCCCAGGCAGATTTCCAGGCATTCAGACTACCCACTCACCTGGAACAGCCCTCTCTGCACCATTCCTATGCAGAGATCCTGGTACAGGGGTCCTCTCTGTTCCACATCCAGCCCTATCTCAAGGCATTCATAGTACCTGCTGGCCTGGTTCTGTATCCTGAGGCGTCCCACCATTCCAGTGCAGAAATTGTGGTGCACTGGATTTGAAATGGACCCTTTCCATTTCAAACTCAGCAGATCTCCAGGAATCTGGAAAACCTACTTTCCTGGATTAGGAGTTTAGGCCATCCCACATGCCCATGCAGAGAATTTGGGACTGAGGTTTCCCATCACTATGCCTACACACTCTTCTGGGCACTTAGGGACTGCCCACTGAATTCTCCCTTAGCACTGATGCCAGACATAAGGAGACCTCTAGTAGGACCTGCCCGGTCTGGAAATGCCCATTTTGTGTCCCACTCCTCCAGAGCAGAGGAGGGGGCTCAGACCACCATGCACTCCACACATTAGCCTATTGCCTGAGGCAACAGAGAGCTTCTCCCATTAAACAAATTGGCCAAAGATCACTTTTACTCATAACTGCCATCTAATGGCTTGTAGGTTTAAATGCACAGCCCAATATAAAACCTGCTGACGAAAGTACACAAAGCTATAGAAGCAAAGTCCAAAGACCCTACCCAGCATTCTCTATAGCCACCCCCTATATGGAAGGAGGGAAAGGGAAAGAAAACCACAAAAAAAAAAAAAAAAAAAAATTATTATAGAGAAAGAAAAAAAAAAATCTTAACAGCATGAAAACTATTACAAAAGTCAGAAGTGTCAGCATCTCCAAAGGAGAAGGAACCAGCACAAAATTTCAGACACCATGAAAAATCTGAGTGTGGTGACACCATCAAAGGATCACAATGGCTCTCCAACCATGGTCCATAACCAAAATGGAAACTCAGAAATGACAGATAAAGAATTCAAAGCATGGCCTGCAAGTAAGCTCAATGATATCCCAGACAATGTTGAAAATTAATACAAAGAAACTTCTAAAGCAATCCAGGAAATGAATGAGATTAAACATCTTAAAAAGAAATCAATCAGAGATCCTGGAACTGAAAAACTCACTTAAGAAATTACAAAATAAAATTGAAAGTTTTATCAGCAAACTAGACTAACCAAAAGAAAGAACTTCAAAGCTTGAAGACTGATCTTTCAAATCAGTCAGACCAAAAAAAAAAAAAGGTTAAAAAATGAAAAAATCTTCAAGAAATATAAGACCATGTAAAGTAGCCAAACCTACAAGTTCCTGGCATTATTGAGAGTTACTGGCATTACTGGCATTACAACACCTACTACCACAAAAATACACATGTACATAGCTTGCAAACCTTATAAAGCAACCACACAAAAGAAACTACAAAGCAACCAGCTAAGAACTTCATGAAAGAATCAAAACCTCACATATCAATATTAATTATGAGTGTAAATGGTCTAAATGCCCCGCTCAAAAGGCACAGAATGGCATGTTGGATAAAAAAACAGAACTCATCCATCTACCATATTTAAGAGACCCATTTTACGTATAACACCACTCATAGGCTCAAAGTACAGGGTTAGGGAAAGACCTATCACACAAAGAGAACATAGAAAAAGAGCAGGAGTCACTATTCTTATATAAGATAAAATAAATGATAAATTATCAAGAGTTAAATAGAACAAAAAATGGCATAACATAATATTATCTAGTGCCATTCAACAAGAAAACTATCTTAAATATATATGCACCTAACAGTAGAGCAACCAAATATATAACACAACTACTCCTAGACCTAGGAACAGACTTAGTCACACAATAATAGCAGGGGACTTCAACACCCCACTGACAGCATTAGACATGTCATGAAGGCAGAAAACTAACAAATTCTGGACTTAAATTCAAAACTTGTCTCAATTGGACCAAACAGACATCTACAGGATACTACTCCACCCATCAACATTCTTTTCCACCCATACACAGTCTTCTCATCTGCACACAAAACATACTCCAAGATCAACCATAAGCTCAGCTATAAAGTCTCAGTAAATGCAAAAAAACTGAAATCATGCCAACCATATTCTCAGAACACAGAATAAAAATAGAAATCAATACCAAGATGATCTCTCAAAACCATAGAATTATATGGAAATTAAACAACTTTTTCCTGAATGACTTTTGGGTAAACAATGAAATTAAGGCAGAAATTTAAAAATTCTTTGAAATAAACGAAAACAAAGACACAACGTAATAAAACCTCTGGGATACAGCCAAAGCAGTGTTAAGAGGAAACTTTAGTCCAGGCGCAGCGGCTCATGCCTGTAATCCCAACACTTTGGGAGGTTGAGGAGAGCA